ACTTTTGGCGGGCTCAGCAGGGCAGAAACAGCCTGGACAATTCCTATTGGCTTTGGAAAGCCAATAGAATTAGACTCTATTCAAGAGAGTCTATTCTATTGGCTTTCAAAAGCCAATAGAATAAAAGGGAGTAGCACAGCTAAGGAAAAGGGGGAAAAAATGGCGGACTGCGTTGTTTGGCGACCCCCGTGAAATGGTCGTTCGACCCCAAATGGGGTCCCGACCCACAGGTTGAGAACCACTGTGTTATGGTGTCTCGTAAACCATGATTTATGGCTTAACGTGGGAATCCAGCCAATCGTGATTGGATCATTCAATAAATGAGGACTAAGCAAATAGCTTTGGGTTCTGTAAACCCAAACCTTTAAATTATGGTTTATGACCTACCTACAATCTTATGCAACGAATGGTTGCTCCATAAAAGCCGAGCTTGTCATGAGAACTTAGCCTCTCATTTTTATTTTATTTTTCATTTATTAAATTCCTATTAAATTGATTCAGCCCTTCCTTCTTTCTGAAGCCAGTAAAGTGAAGACCCAGATTGTTGGCGGGGGCAACATGCTGTAAACCGCTCAGAGCACACTGCAAAGCGGTATATAAGTCTAAGGGCTTTTACTATTGCTATTGTTATTACTATTGCTATTCCTTCCTCCTCCCTTCCTTCCATCCCTCCATCCCTCCCTCCTTCCTTCCTTCCTTCCTCCCTCCCTCCTTCCTTCCCTCCCTCCCTCCCTCCCTCCCTCCTTCTTTCCTTCCTTCCATCTGTCCATCCCTCCCTCCTTCCTCTCTTCCCTCCCTCCTTGTTTCCTTCCTTCTCTCCATCCCTCCCTCCTTCCCTCCCTTCTTTCCTTCCTTCCCTCCCTCCCTCCCTCCCTCCTTCCTTCCCTTCCTTCCTTCCCTCCCTCCTTCCCTCCTTCATTACTTCTCTCCCTCCCTCCCTCCCTCCCTCCCTCCCTCCCTCCCTTCCCTTCCCTCCCTTCCCTCCTTCCTTCCCTCCCTCCTTCCCTCCTTCATTCTCTCCCTCCCTCCCTCCCTCCCTCCCTCCTTCCTTCCCTTCCTTCCCTCCCTCCCTCCTTCCCTCCCTCCCTCCCTCCCTCCCTCTTTCCTTCCCTCCCTCCCTCCCTCCTTCCTTCCCTTCCTTCCCCCCTCCTCCCTCCCTTCCTTCCCTTCCTTCCTTCCCTCCCTCCTTCCCTCCTTCATTCCTTCTCTCCCTCCCTCCCTCCCTCCCTCCCTCCTTCCCTTCCTTTCTTCCCTCCCTCCTTCCCTCCTTCATTCCTTCCCTCCCTCCCTCCCTCCCTCCCTCCTTCCTTCCCTTCCTTCCTTCCCTCCCTCCTTCCCTCCTTCATTCCTTCCCTCCCTCCCTCCCTCCCTCCTTCCTTCCCTTCCTTTCTTCCCTCCCTCCTTCACTCCTTCATTCCTTCCCTCCCTCCCTTCCTCCCTCCTTCCTTCCCTTCCTTCCTTCCCTCCCTCCTTCCCTCCTTCATTCCTTCTCTCCCTCCCTCCCTCCCTCCCTCCCTCCTTCCCTTCCTTTCTTCCCTCCCTCCTTCCCTCCTTCATTCCTTCCCTCCCTCCCTCCCTCCCTCCCTCCTTCCTTCCCTTCCTTCCTTCCCTCCCTCCTTCCCTCCTTCATTCCTTCCCTCCCTCCCTCCCTCCCTCCTTCCTTCCCTTCCTTTCTTCCCTCCCTCCTTCCCTCCTTCATTCCTTCCCTCCCTCCCTCCCTCCTTCCTTCCATCCATCTGTGGTGGTGCAATGGTTAGAATGCAATATTGCAGGCTGATGGCTCACAGCCATGAGTTCGATCCTGATGGGGCTCAAGGTGGACTCAGCCTTCTGTCCTTCCGAGGTGGGTAAAATGAGGATCCAGATTGTTGGGGGGGGCAACAGGCTGACCCTGTAAACCGCTCCGAGAGGTCCGTAAAGCCCTGTGGAGCGGTATATAAGTGCTAGCGCTATCTAAGCTTCTGAATAAAAATATTGACAATATTGAAGGGAAGCTGCCTCCAGAAGTTGTGGCTGCTCCATCGCTGGAGGTTTTCAACAAGAGGCTGGGCAGCCATTTGTCTGGAATGGTATAGGGTCTCCTGCTTGAGCAGGGGGTTGGACTAGATGACCTCCGAGGTCCCTTTCAGTTCTGTCATTCTATATATTCCAAGCCTCCTCTCCCTCCGGCGTTCATTCACCTTTCCCCTTTGGCCTTTCTGATGTGCCTAGCAAAGATCCTGGAGCGTCTGATCTACGACCAGGCGCCCCTCACGGTACTGGAGCTGGGCACCTACTGCGGCTACGCCTCCATCCTCATGGCGCAGACGCTCCCGCTGGGCGCCCGGTTGTACACCGTGGAGATGGACGTGCACAAGGCGTCGGTGGCGGAGAAGGTGATTCGGCTGGCCGGCTTTGACGATGACACGGTGAGCAGCCTTGGGCTCTGCTGCAGGTCTCCTCAAGCCAAGATAGCATTGGTTGGTGGGTGGGAGCAATAATCAAGGCTTAAAGCCGCCAAGGTGGGAGACCCCCACCCTGGCCAACGAAGGGAAGGTGTTCTCGCATGTGCCATGCCAAACCAGCATTAAGAAAAGAGAAAGGTCACACAAGCATAATCCAGAATATCTGAGAATTGACAATTTAGCCAAGGGGTCTTCAACCTTGGCAAAGACTTGTGAACATCAACTCAGCTCCTGGATTAGGGTATTGTTTTCTGCTTGAGATTGCTCAGCCCCTCCCTTCTGGCACTGATGATGTACCCTAGCTGGGTCATAAAAAGTCTGTAAGAAAACAACCAAGCTCAGAGAGCACCAAAGACCCCACAGTCTTCCTCCTCCCCCTCCTCTCTGCAAACCCCACTCTCTCCTAGCACTGATGATGTTCCCTGGTTGGGCCATGAAATGTCTGCAAGAAAACCACCCAGCTCAGAGAGCCCTAAGGACACCACACTCCTTCCTTCCTTCCTTCCTTCCTTCCTTCCTTCCTTCCTTCCTTCCTTCCTTCCTTCCTTCCTTCCTTCCTTCCTTCCTTCCTTTCCTCCCTCTCTCCCTCCTGGCCTCCCTCTCTTCTTTTCTTCCTTCCTTCTTCCTCCTCCTTCCTTATAGCACTGATGATATACCCTAGTTGGGTCATAAAAAGTCTGCAAGAAAACAACCAAGCTTAGAAAGCACCAAAGATTCCACAGTCCTTCCTTCTTCTTCTTCCTCCTCCTCCTCCTGTTCCTCTTCCTCCTCTCCACAGCATCCCATTCCCTTCTAGCACTGATGATGTTCCCTAGTTGGGCCATGAAATGTCTGCAACAAAACCACCCAGCTCAGAGAGCAACAAGGACCCTGCAGTCCTAGTCGTCCTCCTCCTCCTCCTCCTCCTCCTCCTCCTCCTCTCTGCAAACCCTCTTCCCTTCTAGTCCTTAAGATGTTACCTAGTTGGACCACGAAACATCTGCCAGAAAAGAACCAAGCTCAGAGAGCACCAAGGACTCCATATTCTTCTTCCACAGCCAGCCTGGGAAGTAGACTTCTCCAAAGCCACCCAACTGCTTCCCACTGCTGAGGGACCTGAAGCCGGTCTCCTGGCCCAACCCCTTTTCCATGGCACCCTGGAGGTGCCTTTCTGGACCAGGTGCTCGACCCCCTGGTTCCCATTTGGTTTCCAAGAATGTGGATTCGAAGGGAGCTGCAGACCCTCGGGACCTCTCCCCCCCCAGGGACCGTTCCGATGGGACTCACCTTTCTTCTTCTCCCACGCAGGTGGAACTCATCGTGGGCCCCTCGGAGGAGGTCATCCCCCTCCTCAAGGAGACCTTTCTGCTGCCGGAGGTTCACCTGGTGGTCATGAACCACTGGAAGCGCTGTTACCTCCGGGATCTGCAACTGCTGGAAGACTACGGCCTGCTCCAGCCAGGGGCCACCATCCTGGCGGACAACGTCATCTTCCCCGGCGCCCCCCACTTCCTCCAGTACGCCAAGGCCTGCGGGAAGTACAAGTGGAGGGTCCACCGGACCAGCCTCCAGTACTTCCGGGGCATCCCCGATGGCATGGCCCAGCTGACCTACGTGGGTCTGGAGTGACGGGAGTAGAGCCTTCTACTCTGGCAGAAACAGGGCAGGAGAATTGCCCAACAGGCTAAAAAATCCGTGTCCAGCAGAGTTTGAAGCCTCTGGCTGGGGGCTTCTGGGAATTGAAGTCCACAAGTCTTAAAAGTTGCCATGGCTGGAGACCCTTGGGCTGGGTTATATATTCTTGTGGAATATGTCTTTACGATTCTCTTTGGCCTTGCTTGGCATTGTGATTTGTGCTGACCGCTTTATCGTGTTACGCTTTCAGTTGTGTTGTTGAGTTCTCGCCAGAAACAGGTTAAAATGCTAAAATTAAATATTTACAGAGCACCAATTCTCCTGTGCATTGCATTTCCCGGCAGTAGCCCCCACCCCCAGCCCCAGGCTGACCCTTTCACTAATGGAAATAAACCCTCTGAGGAGGGGATGCTGTGACGGTCGTAAATCGTTCATATGTTACTTTTCCCAGTGCTGTTTTAACTTGGGACGGTCATTAAACGGAAGGCTGCAGCGTCCCCCCCGTGCTCACGTGATCAAAATTCGGAGGCTCGGCAACTGACTTGTACTTACGACGGTTGCTGTGTGTCCTGGGGACCTTCTTACAACCAAATTCAGTGGGGGAAGCCAGATTCACTTAACAACCGTGTTGCTAACTGAACAACTGCAGCGATTCGCTTAACAACGATGGCAACACAGGTCGTAAAATGAGGCCAAACTCACTTTAAAAAAAACCCTGTCTCACTGAGCTACAGATATTTTGGGCTCCGTTGTGGTGGTTTGTGCTATTGCTTAATAATAATAATAATAATAATAATAATAATAATAATAATAATAATAATAATAATAATAATAAAGTTGGAAGGGACCTTGGAGGTCATCTAGTCCAACCCCCTGCTCGGGCAGGAAACCTTAAGGGAGGAACCCTGCGACAGACTTCAGGGAGATGAAGAACAGCAGAGGTCGAGTGAAGAAAGAAATATTTATTTTATTTATTTACAAAATAGCTCCTCCCGACAGCGGGAAGGCCAGCGACTGCCCGAACGAGGGACGGCCCAGCCCTCGGCCAGCTGCGGGAGACACCGGCTCCATCCTGAAGGCTTTCGCGCCGGTCAACGGCTCAGCCAAGCAGGGCAGGAAGTCAGCCTGTGGGGCAACGGGCAGGCAGCCGGCCCCTCACCCTGGGAGGGAGTCACGGCGGGCGCAGGGCAGCCACGTTGGCGTGGGTGCAAGCAGCCAGGCACAGGAACCTCTTTGGCGTCCGCAGACTGCCCTTCACGGCAGCCTTTGCTTCTCTGGCGTCTAGATCATCCACTGGTCCTGGTCTGGTTCTGCCCCCTCCATGTCCACCGGGGGGGGGGGAGGGAGAAAGTGGGACCCTTAGGAGGAGGGAATTGCAGCTGCAAGGCAACTTTGAAGGCCGGGGTCTCCAAGCTGAGCCGCTTTCAGACTGGTGGACTTCAATTCCCAGCATTCCCTAACCAAGGGGAATTCTGGGAGTCGAAGTCCCAGTCTCCCAAGTCATAGAGCGGCCCAGGTTGCAGACCCTTGTATAGACCCCCCAGCTCTGCCCCTAGCAAAGAGCAAACTTTGGCACAGGCCCCCGGTCTAATTCTGCCTCCTTAGCACTTCCCTGCATTCATAACCTCAGGAATGGACCGATCACCAGGAGGTGGCGAGTTCTAGTTCCGCCTTAGGCAGGAAAGCCAGCTGGGTGACTTTGGGCCAATCAGCAGGAGGCTGTGAGTTCTACTGCCGCCTTAGGCATGAAAGCCAGCTGGGTGACTTTGGGCCAATCACAAGGAGGTGGTGAGTTCTAGTCCCGCCTTAGGCATGAAAGCCAGCTGGGTGACTTTGGGCCAATCAGCAGGAGGCTGTGAGTTCTATTCCTGCCTTAGGCATGAAAGCCAGCTGGGTGACTTTGGGCCAATCATAAGGAGGTGGTGAGTTCTAGTCCCGCCTTAGGCATGAAAGCCAGCTGGGTGACTTTGGGCCAATCACAAGGAGGTGATGAGTTCTAGTCCCGCCTTAGGCATGAAAGCCAGCTGGGTGACTTTGGGCCAATCACAAGGAGGTGGTGAGTTCTAGTCCCGCCTTAGGCATGAAAGCCAGCTGGGTGACTTTGGGCCAGTCTCTCCTCCTCTCTCTCACCCCATCCCACCTCACAGGGAGGTCGTTGTTGTGGGGAAAATAGGAAGACAATTGGAGATTGCTACCTTAGTTATTGGTAAAAATAAGAAAGGGGGACACAAAAAAAAGATAGATAAATAAATAAAAACAAGGTCGGGCGGTTTATCTCTGCCTGGCCCCGAATGTCCACCAGAGACCTCAGCCGGGGGGGGGGCTTGTCCCATAGGACGCCCTGGGCTCCTAAGCAGGCCGTAAAGCGGGACAAAGTCTCAGCGGCCCAACCTCGTTAATCTCGCCGTCGTCGGGAGACTCGTTGTAGTCGTTCATCTCGTCCATGTCCTGCATGTCCTCATCGTCCTCGGAGTCCTCCTCGCTGTCCTCGTCGTCCTCGTCATCCTCTTCCTCCTCCTCGTCGTAAGTCTGCTAAGGCAAAGCGGAGAGGCGGCCATTGTCAGAGCACAGCGGAAAGGCACAGCGGTCGGAAGGCGGCATTGCAGGCCGACTCTGCCTTCCCACGGCCGGCAGTTCGATCCCGACCGGCTCAGGGTCAACTCAGCCTTCCAAAGCCAGTCAAATGAGGACCCAGATTGTTTGGGGGGGGGGCACAGGCTGACTCTGTAAACCGCTTAGAGAGGGCTGTAAAGCACGGTGAAGCGGGATATAAATCTAAGTGCTGTTGCTAAGTCAGTGGTTCTCAACCTTTCTAATGCCGCGACCCCATAATACAGTTCCCCATGTTGTGGTGACCCCCAACCACTTATACATCACCGGGTGCCAGGGGCGTGGCCAAAGAAAAGGGGAAAAAATGGCGGACAGCCTTGTTTGGCGACCCCCGTGAAATGGTCGTTCGACCCCAAATGGGGTCCCGACCCACAGGTGGAGAACCACTGCGCTAAGTGGAAAGGAAAGAGAAGGGATGGGAAGGGAAGGTCCTAGTGGTGCAGTGGTTAGAATGCAGTATTGCAGGCTAACTCTGCTCACTGCCAGGAGTTCGATCCTGGCTCAAGGTCGACTCAGCCTTCCACCCTTCCGAGGCTGAGCAAATGAGGACCCAGATGGTTGGGGGTGACACACTGATATTTGTAAACTGCTTAGAGGGGGCTGTAAACCACTGTGAAGCGGGATATACGTCCAAAGGTTCTTGCTACTGCTGTCCCCTCTTTGCCACGGCCAGCTTGGAATTCCAGAAAAAAAAAATTCCCATCCAAACATCAACATGGAAGTGTGTGTGGGGGTCTTCTCTCTATCCCCTTCCAACCACCCCCACAATGGGAAACCTGGCCAGCCAGCAGGGCCAGTTTTTCAGCCTTTTGCAGGTAGTCCTCAATTTACAACCTTTTGCTTAGTGATTGTCTGAAGTTACAACAGCTCTGAAGAGAGTGACCTGTGGCTGTTTTTCACACTTACGACCATCGCAGCATCCCCGTGCTCCCAGGATCAAAATTCTGACGCAAAGAGAAATACACACTATTTCCATAGCAAGCAAGATAAAGCAGGAATGGTTAAATTGATCAATTTATTCAAAGAGGAGAATATATTTAAGTCTGTTTTTTACTTGGATATCATTTCTGGATTTTGTACTTGTGATGGGGGAAAAAAATGAATTCTTGACTTTGGTTTTGTCGATTAGACCTGTCGTTCTAGAAACGGCTGATTATATACTAAGACGTCAAAGCAAAAAGTTGAGGCTAGGGTGTTTTTTATCTTGTACTGTGCTAAAAGCAGTCAAAAGTCAACGCCTTTCCTTTCTTTTGTTCCTCTTGTGTACCTCACATTTTCTTTCCTTTTGCCTTCCCCTAATCCAGGGGTAGGCAACCTCGGCTCTTTTATGACTCATGGACTTCAACTCCCAGAATTCCGGAGTCAGCTATGCTGATTCAGGAATTCTGGGAGTTGAAGTCCATGAGTCATAAAAGAGCCAAGGTTGCCCACCCCTGCCCTAATCCCTTATTTCTATTTTTCTTTGTATTTTATATATTAAATGCATTTTTTTTTTAAAAAAGTTACAGATTCCCCTCCAACTGCTCAGCTGGTTTCCAGGGCTGAAGCGGTTCTTACCTCTGAGGCTGGCTTTCCAATTGGCACCAAATTATTGTCTTTTTCAGCTATGCTCTGCAGCTAAAGAGAAGAGAAAAGCCAAGAATGAGTTTTAGGAAACACAAGATTTGCTGGGAGGGGGGGGAGAAAAGGATGGCACACACACACACACACACACACACACACACACACTCACTCACACACCACACACACACTCACCCAGGCCTGGTGCTGCTGTTCCTGCTGCTGCAGTTCGTTCTCATCCACGCAAGGCCGGTCCAAGTTGAACCACAGAGCCTCAGTGACGCGTGGGAACAGGGACGGGAAGAGGGTGGACATGGCTTCCCTGGGGGGGGGGTCAGAAAGAAGGGCTTGATGAGAGGCGAGACCCTCAAACAGGAGGAAATAGCATTGGGGGGGCAGGAAGGGATCCCCCCTGCAGATCTGGTGCCAATGAAGCCTCCCTGTGCTTTAATTGTGGAAGCCAGGAAATGCAAATTGAGCATTGTTTTATTGCTTTAAATCGGTGTTTCTCGAAGTTTGGCGGCTTTACCGTGGGTGGACTTCAACTCCCAGAATTCTCCAGCCAGCTATGCTGGCTGGGGAATTCTGGGAGTTGACGTCCACCCACGGTAAAGCCGCCAAACTTCGAGAAACACTATTTTTAATGGTCATTTTCTGGAGGAAAAAGAAGACGGGATAATCATAATAATAAAGTTGGAAGGGACCCTGGAGGTCATCTAGTCCAACCCCCTGCTCAGGCAGGAAACCCTATACCATTTCAGACAAATGGCTGTCCAGTCTCTTCTTAAAACTGAATGGATGGATGGATGGACAGAGGCTACAGAGGCGGTGGAGAAGGTCCATTTGCTAAAAGGCGGCACTGATTTAATGGCAGGAATCGCTCCGTTCAAGGTTTCTTGCTTTTATTTCCTTGTGGCGGGAGGGAGCTATGGGAAAGCCTCTTTTTTCAAGGAAAAGCGGCATTTCTTTGACCAAAAAGCCTTTGCCTGCAAGATGGGAACCCCCGCCCTCCTTCTCCGTCTCTTAGCCCAGCCCACCTTGCAGGATTCTTGTAGTGGGGGAAAAAGAGGAGGGGGCAGGAGGATTATGGACGTGAGCAGCCTGGAGTTACTTATAATTGTAATAAAGGAGGGATTTAAAAAAAATCTAGTAAGTAAATGGATGAAATAGGCTCCATGTCATTCAATGCTATAATAATAATAATAATAATAATAATAATAATAATAATAATAATAATAATAATAATAATAATAATAATAATAAAGTTGGAAGGGATCTTGGGGGTCATCTAGTCCAACCCCCTGCTCTTAATTTATCTACTTTGACATTTTATACCTGATGGGTTTTAATGTGTGTTTTTTTAAAATGTTACTGTACTGTAGCCGCCCCAGAATCGCTTGATAGGGCAAATAAATTTCATAATAAATTAAATAAATGAATTTCAACTTAATTTTCAAAACCAGCTTTCAACTCGGGGCTTCACAAGGGAGTTAAAGCGCCTCCAAGGAGCTCGAGGGTCTCCCCGGACCCTCCAGGCGCCCTTCAAGCTGCCCCCGCGCCTTTCTGAAGGCTCCCCTCCCTTCATTTGCCCCGAAACAACAACCCTGCGAGGTAGGCCGGCCCAAAAGACAAGTCACCCCGGCGCTTCCGGGATTCGGAGGCGGGCCTTCCGGTCGCTTCCCGCACTGGGTGTTCGCCGGCACCAAGGGAGCCTCACCTGCTACCGGAGGAGGCTGAAAGCCGGGAGAAGCGCCACCGGAAGTGCTCCTGCCGCGACCGGGAAGCGTTCTTTTAGGATGCTGGAAAACCGGGGGAAAAAACAGCCGGAAGCTCTTCCGTCGCTCTAGGAAGCCTTTTGAAGCGGTACTTCCGTTCCCTGGTTTCCAACGCGACGAACTACCACAAAGGTGTTATGTCCTAGAGCGGCACCCCAGCTCGCCATCACGTGTGCTTTTCAAGCGCCGTCCTTCTTGGGATTTCTATCTCAGACTTTCAAAGTGGGCGTTGCGCGTGCGCACAAAGGGAGGCTTGTCTCCATGCATCGAATGGAGCGCACAGTGCGCCTGCGCAAGAAGCCATGTGCTTCTCCCAAGCAACATATTTGAAAATACGAACGAAGAAGAGATGTTTCCAACCTGGCGCAGAAAAGTCATGAAATGGGGCAAAACTCACTTAACAACCGTCTCACTTAGCAACAGAAATTTTGGGCTTAATTGTGATAGGTTGAGGACTACTTAGGAGAAATTTCCTGACAGTGACAAAAATTAACCAGTGGAACTACCTGCCACCAGAAGTTGGTGGTCCAACACTGGAAGTTTGTAAGAAGAGACTGGACAGCTATTTGTCTCAAATGGCATAGGGTTTCCTGCCTGAGCAGGGGGTTGGACTAGATCAGGGGTAGGCAACCTTGGCTCTTTTATGACTCGTGGACTTCAACTCCCAGAATTCCTGAGCCAGCTTGGCTGGCTCAGGAATTCTGGGAGTTGAAGTCCACGAGTCATAAAAGAGCCAAGGTTGCCTACCCCTGGACTAGATCAGTGGTTCTGCCCCCTCACAGGGCTCCCGGTTGGCCCTGCACCCGGGTGCCCTGCCCCCTGGGAGAAGCGCAGCCAGGACTCCATTTCACTGGCTGGCCCCGTCCCAGGTGCACGTGGCTGGGGAACTGCGCAGGGGAGCCCCGGGATCCTCGCTGGGAGCAGCCCACCAGAGCCTCATTCTAGTGGGCCAGCCTTCCTGCAAGCCGTGGCCCTAAGGGAGAGCTGCCCCTGCGATCCCCAGCCGTGGGACTGTTGGCCCAGCTGGCCGGGAAGGTGCGCCGGAGTCCTGGCTGCTGTGAGAGGTGAGTAGAAGATGGGGGGGGGGGAGAGAAAGGGAGGGGGAGGCATTTTCCAACCAGACCCGCGAGAGTGCCTCCTCCTGGGGTCCGGCGCCTGCTTCCCTGCCTTCCTCATCCTCCCCTTCTGTTGCCCCCCCTCCCATGGCAGTCGGGTCGCAGATGGCCGGGAGCATTGTGCGTTGCAGAGCAGCTCCAGCTCCTCCAGCAGCTGATGGGGGTGTTCTGCAGATGCCCTGCGAGTTAAGCCCGGGGACGCTGGCGATGCGGCCGACAGGCAGGGCATTCTGCAAATGCCCCTTGGCTCCGACTTGAGCTCAGGGATGTCAGCGGCACGTGGGACGGCGTGCCAATGTGACCGTGAGCCGGGGAGTCCCTGCAGGCCCGGCGGGCAGCGGAGCTGGGTGCCTCCAGCGGCGACGGGGTCTTCTGCTGCCTCCTGCTCCCCCCCCCCCGCACCCTCTGCCTTTCATTTTCTCTCTCTCTCTTTCTTTCTTTCTCCTCACCTGGAGAAAGAAGGGGGGAGGAAAGAGAGAGAGAAAGAGGGAGAGGGAGAGGGGAAAGAGAGAGAGAGAAAGAGGGAGAGGGGAAAGAAAGAGAGAGAGAGACAGAGAGGAAAGAGAGAGAGGAAGTGCAAGTGCCTCTCTCCCCCCCCCCCCCCCACACACACAGTGGGGGGAAGAGGACTGGCAGACCAAGGGCAGAAAGAGAGGGAGGGAGAGAGAGAGAGAGAGACAGAGACCCTTTTGACATCTAAACTGAAGATAACACTGCATATATCCTTTTTTACTTTTATTTTTTTAACACACACACACACACACACAGAGTGGGGGAAGAGGACTGGCAGACCAAGGGCAGAAAGAGGGAGGGAGGGAGAGAGAGAGAGAGACATTTTTGACATCTAAAATGAAGATAACACTGAAGATATATATATATAATAAAGTTAAAAAAGGATATATGCGGTGTTATCTTCATTTTAGATGTCAAAAGGGTTTTGCGGCTCTCAGTGTTTTGTTTTCGGTGGGAAACGGGTCCAAGCGGCTCTTTGAGTGTTTTGGGTTGCTTGCCCCTGCTCTACCCATACAGTGGCGCGCCATTGGCCAGAATGGGCAGTGATGGAGGGGGGGAGTGCTTCTTTCGAAACATCCCATGCTGTTTTGTGTGTCTCTTTATATTGTACTTTTTTAGCATGCACTCCAGTTCGATACTATATTTTCTTTGTGACTTTTTAATCCTTTTTACAGTGTGCGTGACTATATATATACTTTCCTCGAATCTTAATTTAGTTTCAGAGTTTTCGTCTTGAAATTCTTAGTTCCTGCATTGCGGTTTGTTCTTATGCCCTTTTTATATTTCTTTTTGCATCTTAAATTTCACTTGTAATTCAATCATTAAATGTTACTGTTTTTCTTTTCGGGCCTTTCACTTTCTTGCAATTGAATTTTGTTTTCAATGGTCATTACATTTAAGTGTCTTGAATAAATAAGATAATAATGAAATACATGTATCACAAAGTTTGGGAATAAAGGGACGGGTGGCACCAAAATTTTTCACACAGTGGAGATATGGGGAAAAGACTGGAAATAAATTATTTGCATCGATATGTCCTGATGACAATTTTAAAGAAAACAAAAAAAGGAAATTGAAGAATTATTTCCTATGTTGTGATTGAGAGGTTATGTTGGGGAAGGGGGGCAATGACAACTTCCTCATTGGCTCAAGGGGGCGATTCGTTCAAAAAGGTTAAGAACCACTGGACTAGATGACCTCAAAGGTTCCTCCCAATTCTATTCTTATTGTTGTTTTTATTATTATTACCTGTATTTGGTCTCTCTGATTCTCTCTCTCTCTCAGAAGAAATTCTGTGCAGATCAGATTGAGGTTTTCCAAGAAAACACAGGTAGCAGAGGTAGAATAGAGGTAGAATAGAACTGGAAGGGACCTTGGAGGTCTTCTAGTCCAGCCCCCCCTACTCAAGCAGGAAGGTTATTCAAAAGCAAAAAAGAAAGAAAAAAGGTGAAGTTTATTTGACAGCAAAACAGTTAGTAATCAAAAGTGGCTACAGGGGGAAAAAAAGGCCGCTATTTTTTATAGAGAAATGCATCTTTTGTCGCTAGAAACCTGCTTGAACCTGGCCCAAAATCCAAGGATTGCCAGAGGACATTACAGATCGGTAGGGAGCAAATGTAACTTGCTACAGGATTGTCTGCAACTGTCACCTTTTGTGAGTCAAGGATGATGGGCTTGAGTGGTGAAGGAAACCTATTCGGGTTGTGAGGAACTTTCGTATCTGGGGGGGGATATTTCTCCTCTTTAATTAAGTTGCTGGTGTTTGCCAATGTCTTATCTTAAGACGCACTTCGTCATTCTCAGCCTAGATGCCAGAATCAGCAGAAAAGCTGTTGTGTTGTTTTATTGTCTGTGGGTTCGCTGACAGGTCAGGGACTAACTGGTTGGCAAGGGGCATGAAGGGCATAGGGGCGGTGGCATAGGATCTGTCTGTCTAATCTGTCCATCTTCTATCTCCTGAAGAGCAAAATGAGATTTTTTGTGGTGTGCTGTCTTTTTATCTTTACCAAGTTTTTCTATGACAGTTTTCACCCACCATGCCAGAAAATCAGATATCTATCATTCCTTCTTCATTTGGTTTCCTTCCTTCTCTATTTCCTTCCTTCCTTTTTCCTTCCTCTTGTCTATTTTCCTCCTTCCATTCTCTCCTTCCTACCTACCTACCTACAATCTTTGGAACACATCCTGTGAAGTTCTGAATGCTCCATCACCGGAGGTTTTTAAGACGAGATTGGACAGTCACTTGTCTGAAATGGTGTAGGTTCTCCTGCTTGAGCAGGGGGCTGGACTAGAAGATCTCCAAAGTCCCTTCCAGCTCTATTCTATTCTATTCTAGATGGGGCCCATAGCTATTGATCTTTGTCATCCATCATAGCTTTAATCAGTCAAAGCTTTCACACAAAACTCACATAACACACACACTGAAAAAAAGTGGGCTTTCTTATTTCTGTGAGCCTGAATATTTCTCAGCAAGAAGATTGAAATTTGCTATATCCTGATTTAATCCTGGTTTAATGAATAAACCATGGCTGGCTGGATGATCAAACCACAACTTAACTATAAGCAGTGCTTTTCAAACCACTCTGACAGGGTAAATTCAACCCACTTAAGTCTACACACCAAACAAACTGAATTTTGCCTTACAAATTGAACGAATTACTGAATTAATTAGGTTTTTTTGCTGAATTAATTTTTTTGGATTTGCCCAAGAGGCAAATTTGTGTTTGCGTGATACGATAAACAACAAAAAGGAAACAGGTTAAAAAGGAGGAAGCAAAGTCCTTTTGGTGACTCCTTAGCTGGGGGTTCTGCTATCCCAGGGGTAGGCAACCTTGGCCCCTTCATGACTCGTGGACTTCAACTCCCAGAATTCCTCAGCCAGTGTGGGGGAACTATGGTCCCTTCATGACTTCTGGACTTCAACACCCAGAATTCCTGAGGCAGCATGGGGGAAACTTTGGCCCCTCTATGACTTGTGGACTTCAACTCCCAGAATTCCTCAGCCAGCATGAGGGAACTATGTCCCTTTTATGACTTGTGGACTTCAACTCCCAGAATTCCTCAGCCAGCATGAGGGAACTATGGTCCCTTCATGACTCGGGGACTTCAACTCCCAGAATTCCTGAGCCAGCATGGGGGAACTATGTCCCTTTTATGACTTGTGGACTTCAACTCCCAGAATTCCTCAGCCAGCATGGGGGAAACTTTGGCCCCCTCATGACCTGTGGACTTCAACTCCCAGAATTCCTGAGCCAGCATGGCTCAGCTTGGAAACCTCTCCCTTTCCCCTCAGCATGGTTGCCTCAGGAATTCTGGGAGTTGAAGTCCAGGAGTCATAAAAGAGCCAAGGTGGCCTACCCCTGCACTATCCCGATTAAGCAATGTACACAATCCCCTCCCCACACCTGGGGCTCCTCTGAGTAAAAACCTGTGCAGTTTTAACTCGTGAAGGATACTCAAGATCCTTTTCTCTTTCCCCTTGGATAACCTCCAGGTCTGCTGGACTACAACTCCCATCACAGGGATTGACTACCTGAGAGGGTTGTGGGGAACAGCCCCCTGCTCCCTCCCTGCCCCCCCACCCCCCAGCATCCCGGAGAGGACCTCTGCCAGCTTTATAGCCCTTGAGCAGAGCAGGGGGGAAAGTCCACGACAGGAGACTGGATCCTTGCCCATCCCTTGCCCAAGGAGTGATCTCCTGATCTTTGGACCGATCCCTCTGCTTGAGAGGCAGCTGCAGCTCTTTTCCTCCCAAGCCTCTGATCTTCCCCCTCTGCAGCCGGCCCTTCACCTGTGCTGACCCCACCTGCAACCGGTCAGCCTCGGCTATTAAAGCCGGAAGGAGGGAACGAGGTGTTTCTGACCAGCAGCTCCCATGCGCAGGTAGGACGCACCTGGAGGTGAGGCAGCCTTGTCTCCATCAAAGGACTCCAACCTTGGGGTGGGGAGGGGGGGGCTGTGGCATGTGTATGTGTGTGGGGGTTTGGGCTTGGCAACCTGGCTGGGGGATTCTGGGAGTTGAAGCGCGCCCTTTGCGAAGCGGCCAAGTTCTAGATTAAGTCTCTTTATCAGCCAGTGGGGTCTATGGTGAAGTGCTCCAGAGACCCAGTTTGGTCTATGGCTAATAAGCCACCAGGCTTGAAAGGGGGAGGCTGCGAGTTCAAGTCCCACCTTAGGCGTTAAAGCTGGCAATCGCCAGGAGATGCGAGTTCTAGTCCTGCTCTAGGCATGAAAGCCAGCTGGGTGACTTTGGGCTAGGTCCGTCTCAATTTCTCAGCCCAACCCACCTCTTAACAGGGGTGAACCGGCTCAACTTCTTCTCTGCCCATTATGGTTAGTTCTGGAAACCAGGTTAAATGCATCATCATGGGTTAATGCAACTTGGTTAAATACATCATGCCTTAAGGCAGTGGTTCTCAACCTGTGGGTCAGGACCCCATTTGGGGTCAAATGACCATTTCACGGGGGTCACCAAACAACACAGTCCGCCATTTTTTACCCCTTTTCCTTAGCTGTGCTACTCCCTTTTATTCTATTGGCTTTCAAAAGCCAATAGGAATTGTCCAGGCTGTCTCTGCCCTGCTGAGCCCGCCAAAAGTCCCAGTCTGAAAATGGTGCTGCACTAGTTGAGTAGTCCTCGACTTACAACCGGTTGAGTAGTCCTCAACTTATGACTGGTTGGGGGCGCGGCATTAAAAAGGTTGAGAACCACTGCCTTAAGGCAACCTGCATCAGACCTGGTTTTCCTTTTATATTATAAAGAAGAAATGGGATTTAAGGACCATTCATACCACCACGAGCCCTAATTACTGGAAACTGGTTGTTTTACTAATATTTGATTTCCATTTTTAAATTTCCGTTGAGAGTCTTCAGCTCCACATATGCAAATATTTCTTTGGTGAAGTTTCAGATTGAATCTTTGCTTTGCAATATGCTTTGTGTTTAAGCAAAGTATTTTTTTTTAATGCACCTAGTACTGTAGTTTGGGGTGGGGAAGGGGTTATTGTTTTTTTTTAAATTTCCAATTCCTTGTTGGTAAATTTACAGATTTTTTTTAAAAAAAGAACTGGATATTTTATATTTACGTCACATTTAGAAACTGCCCATCTCCCTCCTAAAGAAACCTTTAATAATCAATAGATAATAGCTTTGTGATAGGATAGCCTTCCTTGGTCTTGAAAAGAAATTCAGGTTGAAGCTTTTTCCATCCTCTGATAGTTTTTCAGCCTGTTGTCCTGATTCCGACAGGTGAATCTCTTCGAAAGAACTTCCAGGCATTGTTTTCCTTAAAGAATCTTTTATTCGAGAAACAAAACATCGGCACTACATAGTTGAAGCGAAAAACTGAATTCCCCTCCCCTGGGCACAAAGTAGCCAAGCACAATTCCCTCCTCCAATTAACTGTCATAAATCACATTCCCCAATTAGCTTGAAGCCCAGGCTTTCTCTCCAGCCTGCCAAAACACTATCCACTCTGGGCCCAATGACCTTGGGTTCCCAGGCTGAATTATTATTGTTATGACTAGCTGCCCCTCCCAGCATCAACTAGCTCTGAAAGAGAAAAGATGGCTACATTTCCATATGTTGTCAAAGCAAGAACATCCCATGTGAGCAGCGTTGACACCTGTTGCACCCCAAATGAAAAGAAGATGGGTGCAGTCAATAACTTGGGGGAGGGAGGGGCACAAAGACCCCCAACCCCAACCCCATCCAAACTGGGGACGGAGGTTGGTCCTGTAGAGACGTTGCAAAATCCTCTTCCGTATGCCCCCCCAAATCTATAATTTCAAAGAACTGCAAAGGATTAGGGTTTCTGCTCTTGTGGAAAACGAAAGGACTCTTATGAATTCCAGGGGGTTTTAGCAGAGAGATTTATTGCGCAGGTTCAGAAGCGATAGCAACAAGCAATTCTGAACCCCGAGGGCGGGTTTTATACTTTCCTTTTCTCAGGAACAAAGGAACACCCATTGAAATGTACATTGTGATACATTAGGTTCCTTTCTCACGGGTATACAATGGAGAGTTTGCTACATACATTGTATCCAAGTGCAATGCGCATTAGGTTAGTCACAAACTACTAACAGAGCACTATTCCAGTAATTATGCAGACACATCATTATTCTAGTGCAGCGGTTCTCAACCTGTGCGTCGGGGCCCCATTTGGGGTCAAACGACCATTTCACGGGGATCGCCAAACAACGCAGTCCGCCATTTTTCCCCCCTTTTCCTCAGCTGTGGCTACTCCCTTTTATTCTATTGGCTTTTGAAAGCCAATAGAATAGACTCTCTTGAATAGAGTCTAATTCTATTGGCTTTCAAAAGCCAATAGGAATTGTCCAGGCTGTCTCTGCCCTGCTGAGCCCGCCAAAAGTCCCATTCTGCAAACGGGGCTGCACCAGTTGAGTAGTCCTCGACTTACGACCAGTTGAGTAGTCCTCCACTTACGACCGGTTGGGGGGGTCGCGGCATTAAAAAGGTTGAGAACCACTGTTCTAGTGATTGTTCATTATTCCACATTACTGCTATCTTTAGACATTTGATGTCGAGACCAAACAGAATAACAGAGCTGGAAGGGACCTTGGAGGTCATCTAGTCTAACTCCCTGCTCAAGCAGGAGACCCCATCCCATTCCAGATAATTTGACTTAAGCTCAACAAAAGGGGGGGAGACCCCCCCCCAAAGCCCAGCTCCTTCTTGCCTGCCCTCCTGTGCTTGGGCTGGGCTTTAAAGGGGGGGGGGAGAAACCTAGGGGGGGGCAGGGGATGCAGTGGGAGCTTTGCCTTGCTGCCGTCTCTTCTGAACGTGGCCAAGGATGTGGGTTTCTGACTCCATCTCTGGAGTGGAAGAATGGAATAGGGCAGGGCTGTCAAACTCAATTTCATTGAGGGCCGCACCCTCATTGTGGTTGCCCTGGAGGGGGGGTATGCGTGGCCAGGGTGGGTGTGGCTTACTGGGTGGGTGTGGATGGAGTGGGTGTGGCCTACTGGGTGGGTGCAGCCAGCTGTACGTTGTTCGCGTCAAGGGTGCCTGTGGGGGCCTGGGCAGGAGTGGGACAGATCTGAGGGTCTATGGCAGAAGGGGGGAGGACCAGGGCAAGTGCCAAGGCATGGTCCACTGGAGGATCCTCACTGTTCCTCTCAGGCCATGTGGGGGGGGGCTGGATTCTTGTGAAAAACGAAAGAGCCTTTTACAAATTCCAGAGGGTTTAGCAGAGAGATTTATTGCGCAGGTTCAGAAGCAGTGAAGACCAGCAATTCTGAACCCCGAGGGCGGGTTCAGACTACAGTTTTATACTTTCTTTTCTCAGGAACAAAGGAACACGCATAGAAATCTACATTGTAATACATTAGATCAATGGTTCTCAACCTGTGGGTCGGGACCCCATTTGGGGTCGAATGACCATTTCACGGGGGTCACCAAACAAGGCTGTCCGCCATTTTTTCTCCCTTTGGCCACGCCCCTGGCACCCAGTGATGTATAAGTGGTTGGAGGTCACCACAACATGGGGAACTGTATTATGGGGTCGTGGCATTAGAAAGGTTGAGAACCACTGCATTAGATTCATTTCTCAGGGGCAGACAATGGAGAATCTGCTACATACATTGTTTCTAAGTGCAATGCGCATTTGGTCAGTCACATATTGCTAACACAGCATTACTCCAGTAATTGTGCAGACACATCGTTATTTTAGTGATTTTTCATCATCATTATTATTATTCTACATTATTCTACCTTAGGAGGGTGGCACGGAGCCCTGGGCAGCAGAGGGCAAACGCCCAGCCTGGCCCTTGAGCACCTGCGGCGCCAAGCCGTTTCCAGACAGCCTTGTGGAGCTAAGACTGAATGCGTTTCAGCAAAGATGGCCACCACAAAATTGTACATTGGCTCCCGGCTGGCCTGGGTCAGGGCCAAGGCAGCGGGGGCCGTTCCCTCACTGTTTCCAGGATGGCTTCGCGGGCTGCATGAAACCACTTTGTGGGCCGCATCCGGCCCCCGGGCCTTGTGTTTGACATGTCTGGAATAGAGAATAACAGAATTGGAAGGCACTTGGAGGTCTTCTAGTCGGGAAGACCCTACCCCATTCCAGACAAATGGCTGTCCAGTCTCTTTTTAAAAACCTCCAGTGATGGAGCACCCACAACTTCTGGAGGCAGGTTGTTCCACTGGTTAATTCTTCTCCCTGTCAGGAAGTTTCTCCTTAGTTCTAGGTTACTTCTCCCCTTGGTTAGTTTCCATCCGTTGCTTCTTCTCCTGCCTTCAGGTGTTTTGGAAAACAGGTTGACCCCCTCAAGTATTGGAAGATGCTCTCATGTCCCCCCTGGTCCTTCTCTTCATTAAACCAGACATCCCCCAGTTCCTGCAACCCTCCTTCGTATATTTCAGCCTCCAGCCCCCTGATCATCTTTGTTGCTCTTCTCCGCACTCTTTCCAGAGTCTCAACCTGTTTTTTATATTGTGGGGACCAAAAGTGGGTGCCCTATTCCCGGGGTGGGTCAGGGAATCCTCCCACTCCCAGCAGGGTCCCCTCCCCCACTCTAATTCTCTCTCTCTCCCTCTCTCTCTCTCTGCCTCTCTCTCTCTCTAACTCTCTCTCTCTCTGCCCGCAGGGTGATGATGCTGGCCATGGGGCAGGTGCTGCTGTTGGTCCTGGCGATGGCAGTTGCCCAGGAATCTATGCTGAACGTGTGCATGGATGCCAAGCACCAGAAAACCAAGCCTGGACCGGAGGATAAGCTGCATAAACAGGTAGCAAGCCCGGGGCCAAAGGGGCACCGGGGAGACCTGACCATAGTTGGTCCTCAGAAGCGAGGCTGGGAAGGGCCTTGAAGACTCTGGATCGCCTTTTGCCTGGAATCCCACCCCATCTCTTAGAATGGTTACTGGGGGAATCATAATAATAATAATAATAAAGTTGGAAGGGACCTTAGAGGTCATCTAACCCAACCCCCTGCTCAAGCAGGAAACCCTACACCATTTCAGACAAATGGCTGTCCAGTTTCTTCTTAAAGACCTCCAGTGTTGGAGCATTCACTGCTTCTGGAGACAGGTTGTTAATAATAATAATAATAATAAAGTTGGCAGGGACCTTGGAGGTCATCTAGTCCAACCCCCCCAGTGGTTCTCAACCTGTGGGTCGGGACCCCATTTGGGGTCGAACGATCATTTCACGGGGGTCGCCAAACAACGCAGTCCGCCATTTTTTTCCCCCTTTTCCTTAGCTGTGCTACTCCCTTTTATTCTATTGGCTTTTGAAAGCTAATAGAATTAGACTCTCTTGAATAGAGTCTAATTCTATTGGCTTTCAAAAGCCAATAGGAATTGTCCTGGCTGTCTCTGCCCTGCTGAGCCTGCCAAAAGTCCCATTCTGCAAACGGTGCTGCACCAGTTGAGTAGTCCTCGACTTACGACCAGTTGAGTAGCCCTCGACTTACGACCAGGTGGGGGTCGCGGCATTAAAAAGGTTGAGAACCACTGCCCTATACCATTTCAGACAAATGGCTGTCCAGTCTCTTCTTAAAAACCTCCAGTGTTGGAGCATACACCACTTCTAGAGGCAGGTTGTTAATAATAATAATAAAGTCGGAAGGGACCTTGGAGGTCATCTAGTCCAACCCCCTGCTCAGGCAGGAAACCCTACACCATTTCAGACAAATGGCTGTCCAAATTGAGCAGTCTAGGGCTGACCCAGAGAGATTTCCTCGGCCCATATGCAAGTAGTCCTCGAATTACGATCACAACGGGGCCCAAAATTTCTGTAGCTAAATTGAAAAAAATTGTTCGTTGACTTTTGCCCCATTTTATGATCTTTCTTGCCACGACGTTAAGTGAATCACTGCCATTCTTATGTGAGTCATGCGGCCGTTAAGTGAGTCCGGCTTCCCCGTCGACTTTGCGTGTTGGAAGGTCACCAAAGGGGACGGCGTGACCGCCCCTCCCCTCCTGGGACGCTGCGACCGTCGTAGATATGAGTCATTTGCCCCAGTGTCCGAATTTTGATCACATGACCTTGGGGGGGAGATGCTGCAACGGTCGTAAGTGTGAAAAACAGTCATAAGTTGCTTTTTTCAGTGCCGTCGTATCTTGGAACGGTCACTAAATGAGCGGTTGTAAGTTGGATGACCCATATTCTGCATTCCTCCTCCTGATCTCCTCTTTCTCCTCGGTGCTCAGGTGGACCCACAGCACTCAGGTCAGCTGCAGTCAGCCAGAGGAACAGGTGGACTCATGAAGGGATACCCTGGGGAGGGGTCTTTCCCCCCAATGCTTTGGCAGATCCTAAACTAAGCAGAAGGGATATCAGGGGTCTTCAAACTTGGCCCTTTGATGACTTGTGGACTTCAACTCCCAGAATTCCTCAGCCAGCGTGCCTAGCTGAGGAATTCTGGGAGTTGAAGTCCAGGGGTCTTCAAACTTGGCCCTTTGATGACTTGTGGACTAACTCCCAGAATTCCTCAGCCAGCGTGCCTAGCTGAAGAATTCTGGGAGTTGAAGTCCAGGGGTCTTCAAACCTGGCCCTTTGATGACTTCTGGACTTCAACTCCCAGAATTCCTCAGCCAGTCCACAAGTCATCCAAGGGCCAAGTTGGAAGACCCCTGGGTTAAGCTGTCATGACTGGGTTGACAAGAACCTGTCAGGCCTAAATCTGAACTGCTTTTCTCTTTAGTGTGAGGCATTGACCTGTTATGGTGTCTCGTAAACCATGATTTATGGCTTAACGTGGGAATCCAGCCAATCGTGATTGGATCATTCAATAAATGATGACTAAGCAAATAGCTTTGGGCTTTGTAAACCCAACCCTGTAAATTATGGTTTATGACCTACAATGTTATACAACAAATGGCTGGCTGAGGAATTCTGGGAGTTGAAGTCCACAAGTCATCAAATTGGCCAAGTTTGAAGACCCCTGGACTTCAACTCCCAGAATTCCTCAGCTAGGCAAGCTGGCTGAGGAATTCTGGGAGTTGAAGTCCACAAGTGGGCCACGTTTTGAAGACCCCTGGCCTAGATGCTTCCAAATCTTGTCCAACTGGTTCTGTTTGTTTCTGATGGCTACACGAGATTAAAGGTATCCCCAAGGCGGAAGGGGGGGGCTTTGGACTGAGGCATGTCGGCTTCTAACTCGGAAGTGTAGAGGCTGAAGACGCAGAATGGAGTATGTTGTGAGAAGACAGGAAGAGAGTTTAAACTTCATTGTTCACACATACCTCTGGAGATTCTTGGTCCTGGTTGTCCCCAAGGTGCTTTTCCAAAAGCAGCTGGCCTTTCTTGCTTTTTCTCCTTGAAAACGTTTGGCTCCTCATCCCAGAAGCTTCAGCATTTCTCCAGAACAGAAGAAGCTTCTTGCACGAGAAGGGTGAAAGGTTTTCAAGGAGTAAAACCTAAAAAGTCCAGTTGCCTTTTGGAAAAGTAAGAATTTTTGAAAAGTATTTAAGGTAATAATAATAATAATAATAATAATTCAATAGGTAAACAAAATGCCAAATCCAGTCTGAATATCTGGCTGACTGTGCGATGATCAATAATAATAATAATAATAATAAAGTTGGAAGGGACCTTGGAGGTCATCTAGTCCAACCCCCTGCTCAGGAAGGAAACCCTACACCATTTTAGACAAATGGCTGTCTGGTCTCTTCTTAAAAACTTCCAGTGTTGGAGCATTCACCGCTTCTGGGGGCAGGTTGTTCCGCTGGTTAATTGTTCTAACTGTCAGGAAGTTTCTCCTTAGTTCCAGGTTGCTTCTCTCCTCGATGAGTTTCCATCAGTTGCTTCTTGTCCTGCCTTCAGGTGCTTTGGAAAATTACTTGACTCCCTCTTCTTTGGGGCAGCCCCTGAGATACTGGAAGACTGCTATCCTGTCCCCCCTCGTCCTTCTCTTCATTAAACTGGACATCCCCAATTCCAGCAACCGTTCCTTGTATGTTTCAGCCTCCAGTCCCCTGATCCTCTTTGTTGCTCTTCTCTGTACTCTTTCTGGAGTCTCAACATCTTTTTTACATTGCGGTGACCAAAGCTGGATGCAGTATTCCAAGTGTGGCCTTACCAAGGCATCGTAAAGTGGTATTAAACCTTCTTGTGATCTTGATTCTATCCCTCTCTTAATGCAGTGTTGGCCTTTTTGGCAGCTGCAGCACACGGCTGGCTCCTATTTAAGGGATTGTCCATTAGGACTCCGAGGTCCCTCTCCCAGTTACTACTATTGAGCAAGGTACCCCCTATACTCTACCTGTACCTTTGGCTTTTCTTGCCTAAATATAGGCTCCCACCAGCCTTGAAGGACGTTCCTTGAGGACCTGCAATCCTTGTTGTGTAGAAATCTTTAGCAAGAGCAATACAGGGGGACATCTGGGTGGACTGGGAACGCTGCTGGTTTGTAGTGGGAACCTGAGAACGTCTCGGAGAAGATGCCCCACCCCAAAGAGGACCTCAGACCCGTCTTGGCTCAATCCAGCCTCTCTCTTTGCTTCTCTTCCCCCAGTGCTCTCCCTGGAAGGACAACGCCTGCTGCACACTCAACACAACTCAGGAGGCCCATGAAGACGCCTCCTATCTGTACAATTTCAACTGGAACCACTGCGGGATCATGTCGGATAGATGCAAGAAGCACTTCATCCAGGACACCTGTCTCTACGAATGCTCCCCCAACTTGGGGCCCTGGATCGAAAAGGTGGGCAGCCAGGCTGGGCTTGGTCTCCATGCCCCCCCCAGACCCAGGCAGAGAACTGTCAGGTGGAATTGTGGAGGTGGATGCCTTGGGTTCCTCAGCCCTCAAGTTAGTGGCAGTTGGACACCCCTTGTAGTTCTAGGGGGAGGGAGAGGCAACCTCGGCTCTTTTATGACTCGTGGACTGCAACTCCCAGAATGCCTGAGCCAGCATGGGGGAACTTTGGCCCCTTCATGACTCGGGGACTTCAACTCCCAGAATTCCTGAGCCAGCATGGGGGAACTATGGCCCCTTCATGACTGGTGGACTTCAACTCCCAGAATTCCTGAGCCAGCCTGACTCAGCTTGGAAACCTCTCCCTTTCCCCTCAGCCTGGCTGGCTCAGGAATTCTGGGAGCTGAAGTCCATGAGTCATAAAAGAGCCAAGGTGGCCCACCTCTGTTCTAGGGGGAGGGGTCCAACAGATCTACGAGAAAGAGGATGGAGCTGGTTTTAGGGCAGCTATCAGTCCAGGCAATTGGAGGAGCTGAAGTTCTCCTCTTTGGAAGTAGAAGGAACCCCCCCCCCCGACTTTTCCTTCTGCTCACAGGTGTGGGGCTGGGGGTCCTTGGGGCTCTCTGAGCTGGGTGGTTTTCTTGCAGATGTTTGGTTACCCAAACTAAGGAACATCATCAAGGCTAGTTTGGGTAATGAAACATCAGATTAGCAGTTAGGATGTCCCCTAGTTTGGGTAACGGGACATTTGCAAGAAAACCACCCACCTCCGAGAGCAGAGTCTTCCTCCTCCTCCTCCCCCCTCCTCCTCCCCCCTCCCTCCCCCTCCCCTCCTCCATCCTCCCTTCAGCACTGATGATGTTCCCTAGTTCGGCCATGAAACGTCTGCAAAAAAAAAAAATACCCAGCTCAGAGCACCAAGGACCCCACAGTCCTTCCTTCCTTCCTTCCTTCCTTCCTTCCTCCTCCTCCTCCTCCTCCCTTCTAGCACTGATGAGGTTCCCTAGTTGGGCCGTGAAATGTCTGCAAGAAAAACACCAAGCTCAGAGAGCACCAAGGACCCCACAGTTGTTGTCATTGTCGTCCTCCTCCTCCCCCCCTCCCCCTCCCCTCCTCCCTCCTTCCTTCAGCACTGATGATGTTCCCTAGTTTGGCCATGAAACGTCTGCAAAAAAAATACCCAGCTCAGAGCATCAAGGATCCCACAGTTGTCGTCGTTGTCGTCCTCCTCCTCCTCCTCCTCCTCCTCCCCCCTTCTAGCACTGATGATGTTCCCTAGTTGGGCCATGAGTCTGCAAGAAAACCGCCAAGCTCAGAGAGCACCAAGGACCCTGCAGTCCTTCCTCCTCTCTCCTTCCCTCCCTCCCTCCCTCCTTCCTCCTTCCCTGCCTCCTCCTCCCTCAAATCCTGCTCCCTTCTAGCATTGATGATGTTCCCTAGCTGGGCCATGAAATGTCTGCAAGAACCCCCCCCCAACTCAGAGAGCACCCAGGACTCCCACACTTCCACCCTGAGCTACAGATGTTCCCCTCTGCACACAGGCGGACGTGAGCTGGCGGAAGGAGAGGATCCTGGACGTGCCGCTGTGCCGGGAAGACTGCGAGGGATGGTGGGAGGACTGCCAGGATGACCTGACCTGCAAGGAGAACTGGCACAAAGGCTGGAACTGGACCAAAAGTCAGGGGGCTCAACCACCTGTTCTTGCCCCTCACCCCCACCCCTACCACGGGCCCCGAGAGCGGGGATCAGCGGCCACCTAGCTGGGCCGAGCCCCTTCCCCTAACGTGGACGTAGGAAAGGGTGCTCGGGACTAGGGCAGAGACCTTTGCTCAGAGGGCACAGTGGTGCCACTAAATTTTGAAGACCCAGCGGGTTTCTGGAGAGGGTGGAGATCCTGCGGAAAGAGCCCCTTCCACACAGTGGAAGTGGGACCCCCTTTTTCTCAGCTCTAGGCTGGTGGGCTGCTTTTCCCAACATTAGCTGGCATGGAGGGGGTTTAAATTCTAGGCATCTTCCTTAAGAAATCTTGTACCTCCCAACTTTTAGCAGAATAACAGAGTTGGAAGGGGGTCTTGGAGGTCTTCTAGTCCAACCCCCTGCTCAGGCAGGAGATCTTAGGCCAGGGGTGTCCAGCCTTAGGAACTTTAAGCCTGGTGGACTTCAACGCTCAGAATTCCCCAGACACCTTTACACTGGCCTCTTCTTGATGGAGCACCCAAAGCTCCTGGAGGCAAACGATTCCACCAAATAACAGAATAACAAAGCTGGAAGGGACCTTGGAGGTCTTCTAGTCCAGCCCCCTTGCTCAGGCAGTAGACCCTACCCCACTTTAGACCAGGGGCTGGTCCAATCTCCTCTTAAGTACCTCCAGGGGATGGAGCACCCATGAATCGTTTCACTGAATAACGGAACGACAGAGTGGGACGGGACCCTGGAGGTCTTCTAGTCCAACCCGCTGCTCAGGCAGGACATCCTAAGCTCTTCTTCCTTCTTTGCATCCTAGAAGTGAACGAGTGTCCGGTGGGCGCAATGTGTCAGAAGATGAAGAGAGTGTTTCCGACTCCCCGAGATTTGTGCGAAAAAATCTGGAGCAACTCTTACAAATACACCGACTTTTCCCGGGGAAGTGGACGCTGCATCCAGATGTGGTTTGATCCTGTCAACGGCAACCCCAACGAAGCAGTGGCCAAGTACTACGCGTCGTCAGGAGAGACCTTGGCCTTCCGCTCAGCCTTGACTCTGTTGCTCTGTTCAGCCCTCCCGGGCTTGCTCTGAGGGCGGCAGGGACACTCGGCTCATGAGAACTGTGGGCAACATCAGCAAGGTGGGGGGGGGTACCTTCCCTTCTCCCCCACCGTGGCTGGAGTCCCCTGAGATGCAGCTGTTCCTCAAGAGCTGTCATCCAGGTGCATCTGCAGGAGCTCCTAGTGATCTCCTGCTCTCCTTTGAATGGGAAGCTGAGCTTGATGTTGAGCACAAGAAGGCCACCTAAAGAGAATAAATGTCTTCCACGACCAGTTTGGTGATTGTTTCTGGAATTTTTGTTCCTTACCTGTTCAGGTGAGGAATACCCTCAACCAGAAGTCAATTCCACGAAGAGTAGAATTAGAATTAGAATAGAACAGAATGCAGAATAAAATAGAATAGAATGCAGAATAGAACAGAATGCAGAATAGAATAGAATAGAATAGAAAATATGGAATAGAGAATAAGATAGAATAGAATAGAATAGAATAGAATAGAATAGAATAGAATAGAATAGAATAGAATAGAATGCAGAATAGAATAGAATGCAAAATAGAATGCAAAATAGAATGCAGAATAGAATAGAATAGAAAATATGGAATAGAGAATAAGATACGATAGAATAGAATAGAATGCAGAATAGAATAGATTGCAGAATAGAATGCAAAATAGAATGCAGAATAGAACAGAATGCAGAATGGAATAGAGTAGAATAGAATAGAATAGAATAGAAAATATGGAATAGAGAATAAGATAGAATAGAATAGAATGCAGAATAGAATAGATTGCAGAATAGAATGCAAAATAGAATGCAGAATAGAATGCAGAATAGAATAGAATAGAAAATATGGAATAGAGAATAAGATACGATAGAATAGAATAGAATAGAATAGAATGCAGAATAGAATAGATTGCAGAATAGAATGCAAAATAGAATGCAGAATAGAACAGAATGCAGAATGGAATAGAGTAGAGTAGAATAGAATAGAATAGAATAGAATAGAATAGAATAGAATAGAATAGAATAGAATAGAATAGAATAGAATAGAAAATGTGGAATAGAAAATGTGGAATAGAGAATAGGATAGGCTAGAATAGAAAATATGGAATGGAATGGAATGGAATAGAATAGCTGGAAGGGACCTTGGTGGTCTTCTAGTCCAGCCCCTGCTCAGGCAGGAGAGAACAAACACAAGACAAGACATTTCATTTTAGATGTTGGACCTGTGGGGGAAACATCTGGGTCCATTGCACATTCTTTTCTGGATCACCAACATCCCCATCCCGTGATTGTGTTGTCATGCCATTGCCTTCATGACTTCCACACCCAAGGCAATTTAGCATCTTCGGGCAAAATGCCTTCTTTTGACAACACAACTCTTGCTGTGGGCCTCAACTGGATGCCATCTCGACAATATGGTTAACAGTGTTAACGGATTGGGACATGCCCAGTTCCTGCACTGCAGTGGGCAAGTCCCCTCCCCACCTCCAGAGGCTGGGCCCTATCCTCCATGGCCATTTTGGTTGGGCAGCTGGGGGGAACATGGAGCTGGCCAGGCTGGCATTTTCCAAACTGCTTGGTGGGTCTCACACAGGCTTAGAGCTGGCTTGAATGCTGGGCAGACCTGGGTTTGATCCGGTGGCTGGCTGGGGAATTCTGGGAGTTGAGGTCCACCCATCTTAAACTTGCCAAGGTCGAGCAGAACAGCATTAAGTGATCCTTCTGGTCCCTTCCAATCCTACTATTCATGGCTAGCTGGGGATTGATGTCCACACGTGAGAAAGTTGAGAAACCCTGGCTTAATATCCCAGGGGAAGCAAGCTTGTCTCTTGAGCTTCATGAGATAGGACATTTGGAAGGGTTTTTGGTCCCCAAAGAAATCTTTCTCAAAAAAAACAACACCACCACACTTTTTTGATTTGTAAAAGCAGTGACTTTCCTGATGCCAGTGGGACCTACTTGCGAACACAAATGCCGTTTTCTTAACACGCCATAAACTATTATTGCAATTCATCACGGTCCCCTGAACAAGCCTTGATGGCAAGCTTGACTTATAATAATAATAATAATAATAATAATAATAATAATAATAATAATAATAATAATGGCATTGACAAATTTGCTATTAGTCAATTGCAAAAGGTGGCCTTACTAGGAACTGCTTCCATCCTGCAATGATACCTGTAATACCATCAAACATCCACATCTGCCTATCCCAGGTCCTGGGTAAGGACTCGATAGGTAGACAAAATGCCAAATCCAGTCTGAACATCTGGCTGACTGTGCGATGATCCATAATAATAATAATAATAGTAATAATAATCTGGACACAGCAGAATAGACGAGAAAGAACTGGAGAAGATAACAAAACACAAAGACCTACAAATAGAAATAGAAAGACTGTGGCAAAAGCAAGCAAGGGTAGTACCACTAGTCATAGGCTCCTTGGGTGCAATCCCAAAACAACTGGAGCACCACTTGAACACCATTGGCATTGACAAATTCGCTATTAGTCAATTGCAAAAGGCGGCCTTACTAGAAACTGCTTCCATCCTGCGACGATATCTGTAATACCATCAAACATCCACATCTGCCTATCCTAGGTCCTGGGTAAGGACTCGATAGGTAGACAAAATGCCAAATCCAGTCTGAACATCTGGCTGACTGTGCGATGATCCATAATAATAATGTTATTATTAACAATAACAATAACAATAATACTAAAGTTGGAAGGGATCTTGGAGGTCATCTAGTTCATACACCAAGCCAAAAACCAAAGAAACCACAGGAGGTTTAGCCACAAAACTTGGACAAAAGACGCTAAACAGGTCAAGGCAGTGGTTCTCAACCTGTGGGTTGGGACCCCATTTGGGGTCGAACAACCATTTCACGGGGGTCACCAAACAACGCAGTCCGCCATTTTTTCCCCCCTTTTCCTTAGCTGTGCTACTCCCTTTTATTCTATTGGCTTTTGAAAGCCAATAGAATAGACTCTCTTGAATAGAGTCTAATTCTATTGGCTTTCAAAAGCCAATAGGAATTGTCCTGGCTGTCTCTGCCCTGCTGAGCCTGCCAAAAGTCCCATTCTGCAAACGGTGCTGCACCAGTTGAGTAGTCCTCGACTTACGACCAGTTGAGTAGCCCTCGACTTACGACCAGGTGGGGGTCGCGGCATTAAAAAGGTTGAGAACCACTGCCCTATACCATTTCAGACAAATGGCTGTCCAGTCTCTTCTTAAAAACCTCCAGTGTTGGAGCATACACCACTTCTAGAGGCAGGTTGTTAATAATAATAATAAAGTCGGAAGGGACCTTGGAGGTCATCTAGTCCAACCCCCTGCTCAGGCAGGAAACCCTACACCATTTCATAAGTCTTCGGCTTATGACCGGTTGAGTAGTCCTCGACTTACAACCGGTTGGGGGTCACGGCATTAAAAAAGTTGAGAACCACTGGGTCAAGGAATGGCATACCTATCCAGATGTTCCTTGGTTCTCCTTGTTAATAGCCTTCAAACCAACTTCGGCTCTTTTCTTGTCCATCCGAGGTTCCGCTGCCGGCCAGCAGAGGGCGCTGGCTGCTCACAGTGACTCACTGCTGGTCGCAATACACGGGGAGGGGGCCATTGGGGTGGGAGGTGCCTTTTTTCAGATAGGGGGCAGTTTCTCCCCACAGGTATAAAGAGGGGGTGAGGTGCCTCTTGTGCATTTTGGTGCAAACTCTTCCCCCCCTCAAAAAAGCTTTCCCCTCTGCAAGGGGGCTTCCCAAGAGACAAAATGGGGATGGGGGTTAATGGAGTCTTTTGGGGGGGCTCTCCCACCCCAGACGCCCCTCCCCCTTAGCTAAAATAATCTTCATAGCCTTCACGGACCAACAATCTTTGTTGACAGTCGCCCACACTCTAGTCAGCCCCTGTCTTGACTACTACAACATGCTCCACATCGGGCTGCCCTTGAAGAGCATCCGGAAACTTTGATGGGCTCAAAATGCGGTGCGTGGTTTTGTGCATTTGAAATGTGGATTGACAGGCGGCTGTTACGTAGAAGCTGGGTTGACAAGATCAGAAATGAGGAGGAGATAAGCCGCCTGGGAAAGCCCAGGGAAATCACCAAAACAATTAAAAAATGAAAATTAGAATATTTCGGACACGGGATGCGACACCCAGAAAAATATGGCCTACTCCATTTAATCCTCCAGGGAAAGATGGAAGGCAAATGAAGTCCAGGCAGAAGAAGAACATCGTGGCTTCAAAATCTAAGGGACCGGTTTGGACAAAACTCAGCAGCACTTTTTCGTGCGACTGCTAATAAAGGCAGGATCGCCAACATGATCGCCAACGTCCGATAACAGATAAGGCACAAGAAGAAGGTTTGCAGATGGATCCTCTCTCTTCCAGGGGCTGCACTGGCTGCCAATTTGCTTCCGGGTCCAATTCAAGTTGCTGGTTGTCACCCTTCAAAGCCCTACCTCGTTTCAGGCCAGGTTATTTGAAGGGCTGGCTTCTCTCGGTTACGTCCAGCTGACCCACCAGAGCGGGGAGGCAGGGGGTATGTTGGGGGTCCCCTCGCTTAAGGAGGTCCATCTGGTGGGACCTAGAAGAAGGGCCTTCTCCGTGGTGGCTCCCTTCCTGTGGAACATCATCCCTGTGGATATAAGACGAGCCCCCCCACATTGACACCATTTTGAGAGGCCCTGAAAACCTGGTTCTGCCAACGGGCCTGGGGACCCCAGGGGGGGAGATGGAGCCCAGGGGGGTTGTCACCAGGGGGCACGGGGGGGGTTATTTGGATATGTATTGAGGTTTTACTTCCGTAAGCCGCCCATGGTCCCTGGCAGTTTTATAATTTTTCTTAATTAACCATCAAGCCCCAATGATCCCAGGAGGGCCCAAAGTCACAAGGGAGGGGCCCTCTGGGAACTTAGTAATGGGGAGGGGGCTGTAAGCAGATGCACTGTGTGTCTTGGAGTGGGTGGATCGATCCACGGATCCCCCCCCTCAAATCCTGAACTACGTAGGGCCAAGATGTCCAACCTCGGCCATTTTAAGTTGTGTGGACTTCAACTCCCATAATTCCCCAGCCAGTCATGAATGATAGAGTTGGAAGGCGCCAGAAGGACCACTGGTCTCATGTTTCTGTCAGAAATACATGCCAGTTGCCAGAATTTGGGCCACCTGACTGTGGGAATGTTGCAGTGGTCGTATGTGCGAGGACCAGCCCTGTTGCTTTTTTTCAGTGCTGTTAGGTGGCAAAATGAACAATTATGAAGTTGAGGGTTACAAGTTAACAGCCCAGAATAGTATATCTCAACCTTTAATCATGGCTTGCATACAAGCCTTAATTATCAATAAAAGTGATTGTGGTTAGCGCAACTCATCTCATCTTTCCGGATCTGATAAAAAGCTGATTCATCCTTCCGAGAAGTTGGCATCCAGACTTTATCCGTCACTTTTTCTGTCAGACCCACAGACCAGACAGAACCTCAGTTGTTCCACGATAAGCGACTTAGAAATTTCCACTTTTGAACCGCTCTCAATTGTGCAGCCAGCAGTCAGAATACAATACAGGAAGTCCTCGCCTTACGACCTCACTTCAGCCCAGAATTTATGTTGCTAAGCAAGGCAATTCAGTGAATTTTGCCCCATTTCCTTGCCATAGTTGTTAACTGAATCACCGCAGTGTTAACAACACGGTCATTAAGCGAATCTGGCTTTGCTTGTCAGGTCGCAAAAGGGGATCACGTGTCCCTCGGGACGCTGCGACCGTCGTAAACACGAGTCGGTTGCCAAAAGCGTCTGAATTTTGAGCACGTGACCATTGGGGAGGCTGCAACGGTCGTAAGTGTGAAAAACGATCCTGTCACTTTTCAGTGCTGTTACAACTTTCAACGGTCACTAAACGAACTGTTGTAAGTCAAGGACTACCTGGACAGTCGTAGGACTATAAAGTAGTTCTCGACTTGTAACCATTCGCTTAGTGACTGTGCAGCTACAACGGCACGGGAGAAAGTGAGTTATGACCGTTTTTCACACTTACGGCCGTGGCAATCGTCCCTGTGGTCACGTGATCAAAATTGGGGGCGCTTGGGCAACCCACTCATATTTACGACGGTCGTCGTGTCCCTGGGCCATGTGACCGCCGAGGGATTTCGTGGACTCAAGAGGCCACAGCAGAGCAGCTATGGGCCTGAGCGGCCATTGAAATTTCTTCTCCGTCAGAAGCCAGGAGTGGCCTTGCCTTTTTTTCATTTATTTTGTCTGCCCTTTCTCATTACTGGCATAAAGGAGTCAAGGTTCCTCCTCTTGTTTTCCTCACAACAGCCCTGTGAGGTGGGTTGGGCTGAGAGGGACTGGCCCAAAGTGACTCAGCCTGCTTTCATGCTTAAGGTGGGACTAGAACTCACAGCCTCCTGTGATTGGTCCAAAGTCACCTAGTCGTCTTTCATGCCTAAGGCAGGACTAGAACTCACTGTCTCCTGGTGATTGTCTTAGTCACCTAGCCGTCTTTTGTGCCTAAGGCAGGACTAGAACTCACAGCCTCCTGGTGATTGTCTAAGGCAGGACTAGAACTCACAGCCTCCTGGTGATTGTCTTAGTCACCTAGCCGTCTTTTGTGCCTAAGGCAGAACTAGAACTCACAGCCTCCTGGTGATTGTCTTAGTCACCTAGCCGTCTTTTGTGCCTAAGGCAGGACTAGAACTCACAGCCTCCTGGTGATTGTCTTAGTCACCTAGCCGTCTTTTGTGCCTAAGGCGGGACTAGAACTCACAGCCTCCTGGTGATTGGACCAAAGTCACCCAGCTGGCTTTCCTGCCTCAGGCGGGACTAGAACTCACCGTCTCCTGGTGATTGGACCAAAGTCACCCAGCCGGCTTTCCTGTCCAAAGTGGAACTAGAACTCACAGCCTCCTGGTGATTGGACCAAAGTCACCCAGCCAGCTTTCATGACTAAGGCAGCACTAGAACTCACGGCCTCCTGGTTTCTACGCCTTCACCTCTGTACCAAAGTGGCTCTCCTTTTTTCTCCTCCTGGGGATGGTTCTCCTCCACCCGCTCTCTTGCAACCGCGCCTCCGTCTAAATCCCCTTCGCCCTTTCCAAACAGGACCCAAACTTCTCTTGAAGCTTTCCCCATGCCCCTCCCCCCTAAATATTCAGGGGAGACCCTTCCCCGAGAACTCTCCTTTGCAAGAGGCAGAACTTCGCTCCTCAAGATCCTTTTTGCAAAGCCAGACGGACTGCGGGTGGGTCCCCCACTTCCTCCAAGAACTTTGGCTCCTTCATGACTGGTGGACTTCAACTCCCAGATTCCTCAGCCAGCCATGCTGAGGCGAAAGGGAGAGGTTTCCAAGCTGAGCCATGCTGGCTGAGGAATTCTGGGAGTTGAAGTCCACGAGTCATGAAGGGGCTAAACATTCCCCCATGCTGACTGAGGAATTCTGGGTGTTGAAGTCCATGAGTCATGAGGGGGCCATAGTTCCCTCATGCTGGCTCAGGAATTCTGGGAGTTGAAGTCCGCAAGTAATGAAGGGGCCATAGTTCCCTCATGCTGGCTGAGGAATTCTGGGAGTTGAAGTCCACGAGTCATGAAGGGGCCAAACTTTCCCCCCTGATGGCTCAGGAATTCTGGGAGTTGAAGTCCACGAGTCATGAAGGGGCCAAACTTTCCCCCCTGATGGCTCAGGAATTCTGGGAGTTGAAGTCCATGAGTCATGAAGGGGCCATAGTTCCCCCCTGCTGGCTCAGGAATTCTGGGAGTTGAAGTCCACGAGTCATGAAGGGGCATGAAGGCCAGGCAGAAGGGGGAGAGACGCCCCTCCCTACAACCGGAAGACCCCAATTGGGGGGTAGGAACCCCAAGACTAGGCGGGCAGGCAGGCTTAGGCAGAGAAAGCAAGAAGCCTCCTGAACTCGGGAGCCTCGTCCCCACCCATAATGGGGTCAGAACAACAGAGATGGAAGGCACCCCGGAGGTCATCTAGCCTAACCCCCTGCTCAAGCAGGAGACCCTATGAAGCCAGTCCTCGAATGGATGGCTATTACGTTCCCAAATGTCCTTTCCTTGTGCCCCTGCGCCCTCAGCTCTAAAGCACAGGTAGTCCTCAACCTATAACCGTTCATTTAGTGACCCAAGTAACAACACTGAAAAAAGGGACTCATGACCGTTTTCCACACTTAACGACCATTCCAACATCCCCAGGGTCGCATTATCAAAATTTGGACGTTTGGCAACTGACTCGTGTTTACGACGGTCGCTGTGTCGCGGGGTCGCGTGATCCCCTTTTGTGACCTGATGAGCAGAAGCCAGGTTCGCTTTACGACTGTGTGACTAGCTTAACAACGGCAGCGATCCACTTAGCGACGGTGGCAAGAAAGGTCGTAAAATGGGGCAAAACTCACTTTACAAAGGTCTCACTTAGCAACCTAAATTTTTGAAAGAGGGTCACCCGCCCTGCCAGTCGCAGCTAAGATGGGGCTGGAGGTTTGGGGGCCCAAGGCCAAACACGGGCTTTGCACGCTGGGTGAGTGGGGGTCTGGGTGCCAGGGACCCCCAATAGCAGTCTTTGGGGAGCTGCCCACGAAAGAGGGGTGGGTTTATTCTCCACGGGGCTCAAGGGGGGGGACACAAGTACCGAAGGTAGGAAGCTGGGGGGGGCGGGATCCAAACCCGAAATCAGCAGGAATCGCCCCTGCGGGGGGTTGGCTCAGAAGCCCCCCCCAAATATTCAACGGTCCTACCAACGCAGGAGTTGGGGGGTCGCTGTTCCTCCCCAGCCAGGGGGGGCTCCGGATTCAAACGTCCGGGTGTTTGGGGGGCTCCGTTCCCTTCCCGCCCGATTCGGGGGCGCCCCTTTTGCAAGGCGGGCAGGATCCGCGCAGCCTGAGACCCCGGCCCGAATTGGCTAGACCCCGCCCCCAAGTGGGCAAGACCCCGCCCCAATTCCCCTCCATCACGTGCCCCCCCCCCGAGTTTCCCCTCCAAGGGGGCTGGAGGCTTCGAGGAAGGCCCGGGAGAAAAGCGGAGCCCCCCCCGGCCCGGCCTTTGGGGAGGCCCTCTTGCGTCCCCCGGCCCCTCGGGCGATGCCCTCCGCCTAGCCCCAGCCGGGCTGCTTCGCCAACCCGGCGCCCGCCCAGCTGGAGAGGGCCGCCCCTTTGGGCGCCGCCCCCGCCTCCCCCGCCGAGGGGCCGCCCCAGGAAGCGGAGGCCGGCCGAGCTGCTCCCCCCTCCCGGCGAAGCTCCGGGGCACCGCGCGGCTTCCTCCGCCTCCTCCGCCAGGCCTGCTCCGTGCCCGGCGGGCGCCTCCAGTGCGCGGGCAGAGCGGATCGCGCCCCTCGGCAGCAGCGGCGTCCCCAGCCCGGCCGGAGCGCAGCGCAGCAGCAGGAGGAGGAGGAGCGGCGGGCCGGGCATGCCCTGAGCGGCCGGGGGGCTCCGGGCCGGCCATGCGGCGAGGCGGGGGCGGCCGGCGGGGGTCTCGGCCCGCCCGCCTTTCCCGCTGAGCGCCTCTCCTGCGCGCCGCCCGCGCCTCCGCTGCCCATGGCTCTGGCGGCTCCGGCGGGGGCTCCGGCGGGGGTCCCGGGCGCGGGCGCTCCGGCGGCGGGCTGGCCGCCCTGGTACCACAAGGACCTGAGCCGGGCGGCGGCCGAGGAGCTGCTGGCGCGGGCCGGGCGGGACGGCAGCTTCCTGGTGCGAGACAGCGAGAGCGTGGCCGGCGCCTTCGCCCTCTGCGTGCTGTGAGTCCGGGGCCCCGCGGGCGCCGCCTTGGGGACGGGGCGCGGGAGGGAGGGAGGGACGGGGCGCGCCTGGGGATCGCCTGCCGAAGACCCCCTCCCCGCCGCCGCCGCCCCCCCTCCGGCCGCCCCCAGGCTGGGCATTCCGTGGCGGCGGCCTCGGAGCCTGGAGCGGGGTCTGGCCAAGCCTCCGATCTTTCTTTCTTTCTTTCTTTCTTTCTTTCTTTCTTTCTTTCTTTCTTTCTTTCTTTCTTTCTTTCTTTCTTTCTTTCTTTCTTTCCTTCCTTTCTTTTTCTCTCCTTCCTTCCTTTCTTTCTTTCTTTCTTTCTTTCTTTCTTTCTTTCTTTCTTTCTCTCTCCTTCCTTTCTTCCTTCCTTTCTTTTTACTTTCTTTCCTTCCTTCCTTCCTTTTTTCTTTCTCCTTCCTTCCTTTCTTTCTTTCTCTTTCTTTCCTTTCTTTCTTTCTCTTCCTTCCTTTCCCTTTTTTCTTTCTTTCTTTTTCTTTATCCTTTCTTTCTTTCTTTCTTTCTTTCTTTCTTTCTTTCTTTCTTTCTTTCTTTCTTTCTTTCTTTCTTTCTTCCTTTCTTTCTTTCCTTCCTTTCTCTCTCTCTCTCTCTCTCTCTCTCTCTCTTCTTCCTCTCCTTTCTCCTTTCCTGCCTCCATTCCCTGTTCTTCCTTCTTTCCTTCTCTCTTTCCTTCCTTCCTTCCTTCCTTTCTTTCTCTCTCTCTCTCTCTCTTTTCCTCTTCTCTTCTTTCCTGCCTCCATTCCTTTCCTGCCTCCATTCCCTCTTCTTCCTTCCTTCTTTCCTTCTCTCTTTCTCCTTCTTCCCTCCCTCCTTCCCTCCCTCTCCCCATTCGTCCTTTCTCCTCCCTGTCTCCTTCCCTCCTCCCTCCCTCCCCCCCCCCCTCAGCCCTGCCTGGCGCTGGAGTCCCGGGGGTGACCTTCCGCCATGGAATCCGAGACGAGCTTTTCGGCTGCAGAAATGTCAGCCTCCCGGGACGGGCTGGGCGAACCCCGGCAGGCAGAGGCCACCCTGCTCGCGCCCCCTCCCCGGTGTAGCCGCGGGTCCCGATTCCGGCCGCGCTGCTCTGCCGCTCCTCCGGTGCTTTGAAGGGCCGCCTGCGTTTCTTGCCCCCCCCCCCAGCCCCCAGGCCACAAAACCTCCTTGCAACTGCTCGCCTGTGCAAGAGAAGGCCAGTTTAGGGAAGCAGTTTTGATTCTAACTTTAATTTTAACCCAGCTGCCGGTAACCGGTTCTGCACCGCTGCACGTTTTCCAGGCTTGTGCGCGGAGCCAAAGTCCCAAACGGTTGAGGACCGTCCCAGAGCTCCCTAATCGCTCGCCTTTGCCCCCTCCTCACGTGCTGAGTTCCTGCAACCCTGTGGGTTTGGAAGGACCTCGGCCCTGGGCAGTGCGTTGGGGGTCTTCATCTCCCAATCCTCGGGAGCCAGCTGGGCACTTTAAGCCAGGGGGTCTCCAGGCGGTCTCCGAGCTCCGCAACTTTTAAGACTTGGGGGCTTCAACTCCCAGCTACGCTGACTAGGGGATTCTGGGAGTTGAAGTCCACAAGTCTTTAAAAAGTTGGCGAAATTGTTGAGCCCCGTGTCAGGCTTCCTAGCCTTGTGTAGAGGGAGCAGCTTCAGAGGCTGGGGGGGGGGGGAGACACAGCTCTTGCCTCCACCATATCTGGCCCCCCTCCTCTGATTTCTTTGAACAGAATACAGCTGGAAGGGACCTTAGAGGTCTTCTAGTCCAGCCCCCTCTGAGAGACAGCCGAGTCCCTGAGATTCTTCCTGCCCAGAATACTGTGGATCCAGGTGGGGTGTGTGACTTCCCCGGTGGCGCTGCCAGCTTCTCTCTGCCCACTCTGGATCCCCAGTGGGTGAGATGGGACCCTCCCCACCCCACCCCAGCATTTGATGGGTGGGAGAGGTAAAAGTGGAGACCAAGGGTGGTCCGGAGGATAAACTTTTGTTTAGGAAAGGATCCATCCTGGGGAGAACATTTGAGCACCAGTCAGTGGGGTGGATTGTCCAATAGTTATTGTGGGAGGCTGAGAAGAGGGGGGGGGAATTCTTCGTGGCACTGGGTGGGTGTCCCCAAATAAGCTTTGCAAGACTCATTCTCTCTCCTTCTCCCTCCTTTCCTTTCTCCTCTTCCTCGTCTCTCCCTCCCTTCCTTGCCTTCCCTTCTTCCCTCTTTCCTTCTTTTTCTCTCTCTCCCCCTCCGCTTTTTCTTCTCTTCCTCCCTCTCCCTCCTTTCTCCCCTCCTTTCCTTCCTCCTCTCTCTTCCTCCTCTCTCCTCTTCCTCGTCTCTCCCTCCCTTCCTTGCCTTCCCTTCTTCCCTCTTTCCTTCTTTCTCTCTCGCTCCCCCTCTGCTTTCTCTTCTCTCCCTCCCTTCTCTCCTCCTCTCCCTCTTTATTTCCCTCCGTTTTCGCTCCCTCCGTTTCTCCCTCCCTCTGTCTCACACTCAGAGACACACATACAGCCCCCCCCCCCAGGAAAACCCAGCTTCCTTCTGGGCTTGTCCCTGCCTTCCTTGCAGCAGGCGGTGGGCCCAGCCCCTCCCGCTGGAAGTGTGGGGGTCAACAAGTGGCTGCAGCAGCTGCTGCTCCTCCAAATGGGAGAGGAAAGTGGCCGGAAGGGATACACACACACACACACACACACACACACACACACAACACACACACACACAGCCTAGGATTCTTTGGCCATGTAACCATTCCTGCTTGTCCAGGGACAGACCCCATCCTTGACACACACACACACACACACAGCCTAGGATTCTCTGGCCATGTAGCCAGTCCTGCTTGTCCAGGGACAGACCCCATCCTTGACACACACACACACACACAGCCTAAGATTCTCTGGCCATGTAGCCAGTCCTGCTTGTCCAGGGACAGACCCCATCCTTGACACACACACACATACACACACAGTGGCTTCAAGCCCTGGGTGGCTGCTGGGATTGGGGGGGGTGGGTGGGCACCAGAGATGGAGAGAAGAGGGAGCAGTGCCAGGCCTGGCCTTAGCTAGTTTTTCCTTGTTTCCTACAAGGCTTTTTCTCCTCCCAACTGGGCACAGCGTGTTCCGCTGGTGGTGGGGCAGATGAAGAAGAGACCGCTGGACATTGGCAGCTGTTGAGCTGGTCAAGAAAGCCCGGTGGAGAAAAAAATAAAATAAACCGGTCTGTTTTTATAGCCCTCTCATTATAGCCGCCACCTGGCGCCCTCCCAGCGCTGGCAGAGGCCCCTGGTGAGAACACGAAGGAAACGTTGGCAGGGCTGCGTGTGCCAACCTCCTCGCTCTCCACGCCTCGCTGCTGGAACTAGAAGTCCCGTGTTGCAGGATCCCACAATCCCAGGGCTGGAAGAGACCTTGGAGGTCATCTAGTCCAACCCCCTGCTCAGGCAGGAAACCCTATACCGGGGGTAGACCACCTTGGCTCTTTTATGACTCGGGGACTTCAACTCCCAGAATTCCTGAGCCAGCAGGGGGGAAGCTTTGGCCCCTTCATGACTGGTGGACTTCAACTCCCAGAATTCCTGAGCCAGCACGGCTCAGCTTGGAAACCTCTCCCTTTCCCCTCAGCGTGGCTGGCTCAGGAGTTCTGGGAGTTGAAGTCCACCAGTCATAAAAGAGCCAAGCTTGCCTACCCCTGCCCTATACCATTTCAGACAAATGGCTGTCCAGTCTCTTCTTAAAAACCTCCAGCAATAGAGCATTCACAACTTCTGGTGGCAAGCCGTTCCACTGGCTGATTGTCCTCACTGTCAGGAAGTTTCTCCTTAGTTCTAGGTTGCTTCTCTCCTTGATGAGTTTCCATCCGTTGCTTCTTGTCCTGCTTTGGAAACTAGGTTGATCCCCCCCCCCGTCTTCTCTGTGACAGCTCCTCAAATATCGGAAGACAGTAATTGTTCCCCATAATTCTATAGATTATGCATACCGAGGTCCCTCCATCTTTTCATAAAGTAGGGTGACCCCAAAGTTCTCACTTTTTGAAATCTAACTTTCTCTTTGGAGTAATTGCGCTGCGGTTGAATACAACCTGATTAAAAAAAAGAGATTGCCTAGTGAGCTGGATTGTTCCCCATCCTCCCCTCCCTTGCTGGGGGAGGTAAGATAAAATAAATAACATCCTTTGAAATAAACCAATAGAGGAATTTTTCTAACTGGTTTTCTAATCTAGGCGCTCTCCTTCTCTGCTGTTGTGTAGCTGGGATGGACTGTGCAAATTGAGTCCGTGCTGGGCTTGCAAAGTGTGTGAGCTAAGTAAAATGGTGCAACTCATGTTGTGTCCTGGAAATGCTTGGATTGTTCATGTTGTGTGAATGCTAAGCCACAATGTAGTATGACTTCAGTCAGAATAGATCTGGAAGGGACCTTGGAGGTCTTCTAGTCCAACCCCCTGCTCAAGCAGGAGACCCTGTACCATTTCAGACAGGTGGCTGTCCAGTCTTTTCTTGAAAACCTCCAGGGCACCCACAACTTCTGGTGGCGAGCTGTTCTACTGATTCATTGTTCTCACTGTTAGGAAGTTTCTCCTCAGTTCCAGGTTACTTCTCTCCTTGATTAGTTTTCATCCGGTGCTTCTTGTCCTGCCTTCTGGTGCTTTGGAGAATAGCTTGACTCCCTCTTTTTTGGGGCAGCCCCTCAAATACTGGATCACTGCTATCATGTCACCCCTCGTCCTTCTTTTCTCTAGACTTGTGGTTAGTTGCGAAGTCGTGTCCGACCCATTGCGACCCCATGGACAATGTTCCTCCAGGCCTTCCTGTCCTCTACCATCTTCTGGAGTCCATTGAAGCTCACGCCTCCTGCTTCAGGGACTCCATCCAGCCACCTCCTTCTCTGTCGTCCCCTTCTTCTCTTGCCTTCCATCTTTCCCAGCATCAGGCCCTTCTTCCTTCTCGTTAGGTGGCCAAAGTCCTTGAGTTTCCACTTCAGGATCTGGCCTTCTCAAGAGTAGTCGGGGTTGATCTCCTCCAGGACTGACCAGTT